CTAACCCTAACCCTAACCCTAACCCTAACCCTAACCCTAACCCTAACCCTAACCCTAACCCTAACCCTAACCCTAACTAATACTAACACAAACACATAAACCATAACCCTTACCCTTTTACTTTAAATACTTCACTTTAACCTACTTACTTTTAACACTTAACTTTAAACCATTTAACCCTTAACTTTTAACCTTAACTTTAAACCCTTACTTACGTTAAAGTTTACGTAAGGTTAGGGCTATTTTAAACTCGAAATCCTTACCTACCTTAAAGTCTACGTAGGGTTAGGGCTACCTTAGACCCTAAACCCTTATATACCTTAAAGTGTACGTAGGGTTAGGGTTACCGTAGACCCTATACCCTTATATATACTAAAGTATATATAGGGTTAGGGTGACTTGAAACCTTATATTTTCAACCCTTCCTTACGTTAAAATTCGTGTAGAAGTAGTATCTATTATAGTACAAAGATCGTATCGAGCGAGTAGAACGCTTCTATCGTAATAGAAGAAAGGCCAAGGTAAATATTTTATTTCCTTACTTCCCCTAAATCTATAATGATATAAGTTAGTCTTCTAGAAAACGAAGGGTAAATATCTAGTATTATATAAAAAAAGAACGAAAGTAAGAGGAAGACCTAGTAGAAGATATAGATAAGAGTAGAATATAGGGGAATATAAATAGAAAAGAGAGCGTATAAATAAAAAATAAATAAATAAGCTTAAATTATCTTTATATAGAAATATATATAGAATACTAGATTATAGACTCTCTATATTATTTCCTAAAAACTATATCGTAATAATACTATTTATATAAATATAGATATACGCGGAAGTAAGAGGTAGCTTATTTATAAAAAAACACTACTATAGAAATCTTTTTTAATATACTATCTCGATAAATAATATATAGAGATAGGATAGTATATAAGAATATATAGTATTTTATTTATCGTAGTATAATTTATTCGATCTTTATTTTCCTTTTTTAGTATATAATAGTATATATAGTATATACTATATATAAAGTAGATATAGAGCTATAGCCTTATAATCCTTTCTTTAGTAGCCTTTCCTTTACTCTATTTCCTTTACCCGCTTAATAATAGTTTTCTTAAACCTTGTTATAGACTATAGACTCTCGGAATATAAATAGAGCGTATACTATACTAATATAACGGTAGAATCTAGGAATATAATACGCGAGTATATCTAGAATCGATCCTTTTTTTTTTAGTTTATCCGCTTTTTTTTTATTCTCTTCTTATTTACTATATATATCCTCTAGTATAAAGTACTTTTAGTAATATACGAATCGCTAAATTATACTATAGCGCCGTATAAATCTAGCTACCCTTATTCTTATCTAATATACCTTTACGCCGTTAGGTTCTAATATAAGTAACCCTTAGTACTATAATAAACACAGAGTAATATCATTACCCTACACCGCCGGACGCTTAAAATATATATCTAATTATAAGCTACCTCTTTAACCGCTCCTAGAAATAAACTATAGTTCGATATATTTTTAGTATTAGCGATATAAAAATACTCTTAGTATTTTGATTATATATATACTTTCTTTTTTATTATATTTAATAGTCCTAAGCTATTTATTATATAAAGGATATAATTATTATAGTTTAAAGAGTAATTAGTAACGCTAGCTATAATCATAGTAAATTATAATCCTTTTAGTAATATAAGCTTATAAATCCTGGTTTCTAAAACCTCCTCCTCTTCCTCCTCTTCCTCCTCTTCCTCCTCTTCCTCCTCTTATACTCGTGGGGAATGTCTCTTATTCACTTCCCTAGCGAGATCATCGAGGCGATATGTCTGTATCTAGGCCCTAGGGCACGGGTAGCCCTCTCCCTTATATGCCGCCGACTATGCGGTCCTGCTAGTCGTATCCTAGTATCGACGCGGATTATAAAGGTCCCGGAGCTCCTCAACCTCACAAACTTCACACGCTATATATCTAAGTATTTTCTATACCGGGACCTCGTCGAAGTCCTAGATACGTTCAGCGTGTCCTTTCTTAGTAGAGGTTTCTAGCGGCGGGAATTATATCTGCCTCTAGGAATACACCAACTCGTTGTACAACACATGACTACCCTGCATAGAAGGCCAGTACGGCCAGATATCGCTCGTATAGTGGCGGACGCCTGGGAACAGGAACCCGATAGCAAGGACACGCTGCAAGCCACCCTCTTGGTGATACTACCACGCTTGCGAGTGTTCAAGGCTGGCCACCTAGGTGCGAGCCTCGGCCGTCTCCTCCGACGTCTCGCGGAGGATCGCGACACGGGCATGCTAGTATACATCCCGCTACAGACACTCGACACTATCCATCTACGATCCCTAGGCACCCGCGCGCAAGAGCAGGACTTCGCGGCTGCGTTTTTCCTCCCTCGCCTTAGCGAGGTTCTTGTTTTTAGGTGGGATAGAAATCAGAGATGGAGTGACGATTCCGGCCGATGGGACTCCCCAGACCCCACGGAGGCGCAGTCGACTAGGCTAAGGGCACTGTGGCCGCCGACCTCGACGTCTAGCGTCCAACAGATAGACGTGTATACTATGCGAGCGTGCGACTCTATCACCCTGGCGATGCTCGACTGCTGCCAACATCTGTGGGTGCTGCGTCTGGGTCTAGGGCACCGCCGTGCATTGGTTACGGACGTGGCCCGGGACGTATTATTTGGGAGCCTGCTACGGCACATAACGATACTCCGGGTCTTGGATATCTAAATACGCTACGCCGACCATCTATTCGGGGCGTCACTGCGAGAATTCCGACACGTAACCATCCTGCACCTATGTGCGCAAGAGGCATTCCAGCTGGTGCAGCAGGACGTGACGCTGCTACCCGCCTCGCTCGTCAAGCTGAAGGCCACTGGCGATCTGGACTGGCACCGGGAGGACCGCATGGGAATCTTCCTTCGGAACCTGTTGGACGGCTGCGGGCGGTCGGGCTACTTCACCTGCCTCCGCTACATCGACCTTCTAGGCGCTGATGGGATGGTCAGCTATTCGCAGTGGAGTCTGGCCTTGATGGACTAACTAGAAGTCGAAGAGCTATCGTCGTCCCTTTTCAAGGCCAGAGATCTCCTCTCGAGCGCAAGCCTGCTCCTAAGGAGTTACGAGCATTCCACGAAACCGCTATACCGCGAAGCAGCCGAAGCGGCGAGAGGCGCCATAGGGCAGACGGACATATCACAGGGGGCCACAGTGCCGATGGTATCGCGGTCGCATTCACTACCTGCGGCGGGTTGCTCGTGCTTGAGCCCTAGTAGATCCGGTAAAGCCAGAGGACTAAGGTCAATATCATAGCCCAAGACATCGCCCTTCACGCAAGGCGTGAACCTATACCAGCCCTAGATCGCGTAGAACCAAGTACTAAATCCCAAACTAGACAAAAGAAATCTCCCCTATTTTAGAACCTAGGTTATAAAATCAACCTATTTAAATACGTCCTCCGATAAGTTAAAATCCTCGTCTATGGGCGATAGGTCGGAGTCGTCCTCGTCGGCGATGCCAGCGTGCGACGGGTCGAAGCCTTGGTCACCTGGCGACGAGCGCAGTAGAGTTAGTGCACCAGCCTCGCCTCGCCCGCGGCCACGCTTACTAGGGGTTTCGTCTACTATAGTGCGCTTGCGCTTCTTAACTAGGACGCGGACCTCCCTTGCGCCCGTGGGATCGTCTATAGTTATCTGCTCGGCCTGATCCTTCTCGAATTCGTGCGGGTCGATATCGTCGTCGTCCTCCGTGATAAACGCGGCCGACTTATAGGATATGGTCGCCTTTATCTTACGGGGCGTGGCCTGCGTGGAATTAAAGCCGCGCTGCGCCTAGGCCTCGACGCGGTCGCGAACGGTCTTATCTGTTTCGTAGGCCGCCTTTGCGTTCGCCTTTGCACCCTCCCACTGCGGCAATATCTCTATAAACATCTGCGCCTCGTCCTTAGTGAGCAGGGCGAGCAGATCGGTCGTCGCTAAGTGGTTCAGGTTGGTAGCGAAGACCTTGATAATATCCACTAAGAGCTTCGTGTCGACGGTAACCGTATCGTTATACTAGGGCAGAGTCGATAGCGCCTGGGCGATCCGAGCTATAATCGAGCAGCAGTGTCCTAGGCGAATAACCACGTCGCTATAACAGTCGTAATCATCTTCCTTCGAGCTATGCGTGATCACCTATACGAAGCGGTTAAAGGGTTGGTGGTAGCGAGATTTTATCGCTTCGTATAGGACAATCGTCGCGAGCCCGGACGGCAGGTCCTCCGACAGCCTCGCCTCGGCAGACGCCAGCTTCACCCACCGAGCGCTTATCAAGCGCTCCTGTATATCTTGGTAGGACCGCTTTAGCTTTATAACGTACCAGGTGGAGGTTTGCGTCTGGTTAATCCGACCAAGCCGGCCAAAGATCTGATCCATAGTCCTTAGGGATGGATGATAGGCGAGAATAACCCCGCGATGGTATTGCTTGTGGAGATCCACGCCGAAAGCTAGCGTGTTAATGTTCGCGACAATCACTCGAATGTTGTTATTCCGGTCGTTAAAGTCCTAAATAACCTCGCGACGATCCCGGCTCGAGTCTATAGACCGAATCGTGCTAACTTCGATACCAGCGATAGCAAGGATAAGGGATACAAGCCTGGCAAATAGTTAGTAAATAGGACTATTTTAGAACCCGGGTTATAGAAAAGGTAAAACCCGGTTTGTAAAACGAGGGGAAATACTTACTGCTACACCTAAGGGGTGTCGATATAGATAACAATACGCTCATCGTTCGTTAAGACATAGTGGGTGATAAGCTCGAGTATGCGGACCATGATAGGATTCGTGGTTAGGTACTACTTGATTATGCTAGTCGGCCCGTCGGGCGTGGATATGTTTGGATCTTCTCGGGCCGCTATAAAGAAGTAATCCTATACGCCGAGTATATGCCTCTTCGTTAAGGCTTGGACGTAGACGACGCCGGCGGGGGGGACCTCTTTACCCTTGTAGGTAGATCGGTTCTTGGCCAACCACTTGATGGTGGATTGCACCGTCTCGCCGACGCGTGCTGTCTCCTCCGGCGCGACCAGGGCCGTTACCAACGCCTTGTTCGCCACAGCCGTGATGTTGTGGGTGTCGTGGGCGCCCAGAAACAACAGTCGCTGTGTGCCGAAGTTGAGCTTGCCAAAGCCGCCTGGGCGGTCGCCTAGCCCCTTCGCGTAGCCCGACGCGGAGGCGCCCGCCGCCGCCTAGTTGACGTCGCTATTGCCCTCGATAGCGTTAAGGATCGACTTCGTAAAGCTAGTGAGACGGCTGTGGTTGCGGGCGTTATGGCCCACCTCCTCCGTTATGATCACGGTCGGGGGGATGTCCACACCCAGGTAGGTGTCTAACCCGTCGGGCAGGATAAGGTAGGAGCTCAGAGTGCGAGACGTGGATACCTAGTTGAGGACATGCTTCGTGACAAATCGTCCGAAGACGACCTCCCAGTCCATCTCCTGGCCGAGTGCGTGATAGCTCTCCGGGTCTAGCATCCAGAGGCGTATGCCGTCGCGATCGTAGCACCGCTCTATGTGCGCCAGCAGCGACGACTTGTTGTCGCTCTGGTGGAATAGGCCCTAGGCCTCGTACTTCTGGTCACCGAGAAAGATTGCGGTGGTCGGCTCCTTAGGGTCGTACGATAGGTGATATATGGCCAGGCCTATCGTGAGCTCGCCGCGCCACGCGTTGGGCTCGTCGTCCTTGGCGTGCTCGCGCGTCGCCATCCCCCAGCACATATCGAGGAGACCTATCAAGTCTTTTAGCGAGGTATAGAGGGGCGTCGCTGTGCACCACAGCACATACTCCTTCTACAGTATTAGCGTCGTCTGCTGAAAGGCCGACGTGGTGTTACGGAGGGTATGCGCCTTGTCTAAGACGACCTAGCCAAACCGCGCCTTCTTTATATCGTCGCTCGCGAACTTATATAACAGTATGACAGCCTGCGCCTTATCCTTATTGGTCTCGACGTGCCAGGCCTCGCGTCGCTCGAGGTTATCTAGGTTAAAAGTCGGGAGGATGGCCGGCCTAGAGTGCTGGCCCTACTCCTCGCGTAAATCCGCCAGCGTGGGCAGGCTCGAATACGACGACCCCTCCTCGAACGCCGCTAGCTACTTTAGTGTCCTAAAGACTCGCGTGTGGAATGTATGGTATATCGACGAGATCGTTGTGCGCCTAGTGCTAGGCAGGAACTTAGCCTTCTCTAACTTGGCTATTTCCCGCCCGATGTCCTTGGCCCTAATGACCGACGACTTTGCGATATCGGGATACGCCTTTGTACCGTAGAAGAGATGCATGCGTGCGTTAGGAGTGAACTTCTTGAAGTCGGCATAGGCCTGTGCTATGGTAGCGACCGGCGTGAGGAGGAGATTCGGGCGAAAGACGGGGAGCCCTATCTCGAGACACGCCTCCTCGGGTGGCAGCTCTATCGCCTCTGGCGTCTTTACCGCACGAAGCCAGGTCTTAAAATCAACCATCTGCCCAGTCGCCTTGGCCGTCTCCGCGTCGTACTCGTCTTAGAAGGTCTTTTACGCCCACGGGAGGATCTTCTTCTAGAAAACCTCCTCTTACACCCGAATATATCCTTTAATAGCGCTCGCGACTGTAGCCGTCTTGCCCGAACCTATCGTGTTAGCGAGCACAGAGAGGCTGTGCCCCTGGATCGATCGATCGGCAATAAAGTGCAAATCTAGGAGTAGTTAGCAAGGGTATTTTAGAAACTAGGTTTTAGAAGAAGAAAAAAGAGCCTATTGTAGAAACTAGGTTATAAAATAGAATAAAGCCGTTCTATAACCTAGTTTCTAAAACAATTAACTATACGTACCGGTAACTTGATGAGGCTTGAGAGGGACTTCGTTGCTGCCCTAGTGTATGCGTAATTAGCGGTCAATCTTATAGCGGCGACAGATAGCCAAGAAATCCGGATCGGGCTTGGGATGATATTCGCGAAGGAAGTTATCGAGCCAGAAGCTTTATCGATACTGCTTGTCGACCCTGTCGGCGTCTGCCTGGTTCTTAGGTTGACTATCGTCCTGGCAGACGATATCCTTATACACGGACGATACTCTGACTAGTTCTAAGAAATAATCGACGCTCGCCGTGGTGTCCGCGCTAGAGAATGTCGCTTTTGTCCTCGAAGTCTGGTTTATGGTCCTAAACACCTCTATGTCTGTATACATTACTTTCGCACCCGACACTATGGAGCTTAGCGTTAGCTTATTCAGGGCCTTAAAAGGCTCGAGGCCCCGCGACTCGAACCGTGCCTTAAGGTCTCGCTTTGGCCAGGCAGACGTCCCAAATATCACTACCTTGTTCTGGAACTCTATCGTAGTATCTACGGGCACTTGCTCCTCCAGGACCGGCCTGGGGACCGCCTGGGGGCAGTGGAATTCCTCGTCGATGTTTGTCGGCGGCTCCCACGCAGACTCGACGCCGCGGAGTGCCAATTCGAGGCACGCAGAGTCCCGCGCAACGGCCTGTTCAGGCGTGTCCTCCATGCGCTAAGCATCCTCCGTTATCTCCTTCTTATATGGGTGTGCGTAGCTGTCGTATCGCGCCGTGCTCCTGCTATAGACTGTGTTAACGCAGCGCTTCGTGGGATCGAGCTATCGAAATATCGCTATCTACGTAATTATCACGCAAGAGTATAAGTCATCCCCCGAATACTTATATAAAAACATCTTAGGCCACTTATCCTCGGGTACGTGGGTTAGGTAGCTGGGGATAGGGAAGCGTGCCCCGTTGCGTGAATACACAACGTCGGGGCCAGGAAGTCGCTTCTGGGCGAAGATCATGACCTAAGCGGCTATTAATAATATTGTCTTTTGGAGGTCGAGCGCGCTATGCGTCTCCCCGTGGCTCTAGTCGACCTATATAAGGAACGCGGGTCGAATTATCGTTGTTGTTATAAGCTCGATGAACTAGAACACGTCCCCCTCTAACTTACTAATAATGCCCGACGAAGCACCAAGCGGCGCCTCGTCCTCCGTGCCGTGCTCTATCGCCGTCTACTATATTAGCCTGGCCTTAGCTGCGAATTCCGCCATGCCAGCCGCGTTTGTGAAAAAAGGGTCCGACGACTGGTAGGAGTCCTACTCCTTCCTCGCATCATCTCGCTCTATTATCTTACCAGCCCCGAGGGACGTGACCTTCTTCTTAGCGTCCTTAAACCACTCGAGATATAGGTTGAGGATATCGCACACTACTAAGCACATTAGTACATAGATTTTAAGGCTATTTTAGAACCTAGTTTATAGAAGAATACAAACTGGTTTATAAAAGCATGACTTACCTTAGGTGTCTAGAAACAGGATTAATATATTATAGTCTTAGAATAGCAGCGCTTTAATATACGCACCGGTGGCCGAGCCATGCGGGTCGACCTAGATAGTACAGAAGATTTCCTTCTGGCTATGCTCCTTCAGAGCCTTTTGCGCCCGCGCCTCCACTTACGTGATCGTCGGGAGCTTTGTGTTAACTTCTGGGAAGTGGATGCCAAAGTCAGCGGTGCTAAAGTCCGTTGGCACGTACTTTAGCCGCGTGACCCAGACCACGCGATAGGAGCCGATGATAGTTTGCTCTAGGTCGTCCTCTGCTCGATGCCGCTTGCGCCCAGCAGGGCGCGGCTTGTCGTTAGTGCTCGTGGTCTATACCGCCGTGTCGGGCTCTGGCGTGCGTGGATCGTGATTTGTGGACGACTGGCCACGGCCGCGGCCGCGGCCGCGTCGACTATTGCCTCGCGCTATAGTCGGATAGCGTGGGTTAGACGGCACAGGCGTGTACTAGCAGACTGTGATTATATAGGGGCTGTGTTATTAGCTATTAGTGAAATATGGTGAGGGGCGGCGTTTTAAAACCCGGGATGTAGAAAAGTGAATGTTTGGAAGAGGAAGAAGGTTTGAGCTATAGGGCCCGGGGGAAAAGATATATATAGGTGGGTCCGTGCACGGCGGAAAAACCGTAGCCCGCTGTTCCGGTGCTTCTATAAACTAGAATCTAAAACGGCCTGTTAGAATAAGTGAATGGCGCTCTTGTACGTAGCTGGTTATTATTCTAGTAATATGGTTGTGAGAATATCTAATATAACGCGATTGGAAAAGTGGAGATCGTGTTTGGGCACTAGGGGCGCTTTATAAACTGGGTTTTAGAATGCTAGGCGTAGAGCTAATCGTATTATATTATACGTACTATAAATATCGATTATACGGGCATACGGGCAAAGGGCTATTGATTTATTCTAAGAGACTTTATATTCTAGGTTTTAAAATGCTCTTAGAAGTATAATAAAATCAGTTCTAATTACGGGGGGCATAGAGTGGGGAACCTTAGCTAGATCCGGGCCGTCCCGTGATAGATCGAGGCAAGGGTGGGTTAGGTGGGTGACGGGCCTTGAATACGCGATCGGTGTAGAGAAGCGGTATTAGTTATATGTGGGAGAGTATTCATACGCGTCGAGAGTATATAGGCGTATCCTCGGCAGCTGTGGTCTAGATCTAGTGTGGGATACGATAGAGGTTGTTTAGTGTGTAGTCTATGTTAGAGTCCATGCGATTATATATTAGTTCTTGTACGTTTATTTGCTAGGTAAGGATATTAATAGAGGGGACGCTATGTGTTATCTATCGGGGAGCTCTATAGTAGAACGCTTTATTGTTTTATTTTTATTTTATAATACTATTCGGAATGTGTCTACGAGTATCTTATAGTTTAGAAGCCTGGCTCTAGCGTAGCCGATGGATCGTTCCTCGGGGGGGGCGGGGGCGGGCACGGGCGAATGACGGCTTAACTAGATGATAGATCGTATGATAGACGGTTTAATTCTTAGAGGGCGAATCACTAGTTTCACGCGCTGGCTGCTGGTATAAGGGATGGTTCTCGCATAATGCTCGTCTATTCGCCAGTTAGGTAAGGTCAAGACGTATCCTAGATACTTAGATAGAAGCACGAGAGGTCTCTAAGGGAGCGTTTTATGGTTATAGTGTGAAAGACAAAGAGGCTGAGGGTTTGATGCGAGGTCTCGCTACGTATAACGCAGCGGCGGGCGGGCTACGTTTCTATCTCGCGGAGCAGGACGTCGGCTACCCGCGCCGCCTGAACGCAGGGAGCCCCGCCGAGCTCGCTCGACTCACCGAGCCAGTGCATGTAGTCGTCGATATTCTTAAAGGCCCGCGGGAAGTGCTTCTTGATCAGCGCCCGTGGCCCGGCCCGGAAGAAAGCGCCGTAGCAGAGCGGCATCACCATATCACGGAACCGGCACTCCCCGACGCCGTCCTCCTCCGCGGTAGCCCGCGCCTCCGGGTCCGCCATCGTGCATATAAGCTGCGGCATATAGCAGCGGTAGCACGCCGCGAACTGGGCGATCCACGGTCGCCCCGCGTCCCGGCAGGCCTGTAGTGTCTTCGCCTTAGCCCTAATCCACGGCCAACGCCGGGGGCACGTCGCGGCGGCGTGGTCGAACGGGCGCCCGCCCTCTACGCGGCAGAGGAGGCAACTACCACGTGAGGCCTCGAGGCGGGTCTCGAAGCGGCGTACTGCCTCTTCGTCGAGCATGGCCCGGTGGAGGATCTCGCCCGGGCCCGTGTACACCTCCTCCTCCGCCGCTGCCGCCCCCTTGCCGCCGCCCCCCTCCTCTTGCCCCTCCTCTCCCCCCTCCTGCGGCTGCTCCTGCCTCTCGACGGCGCGGCCGCCCAGCGTGAGCACGTGCCCGGTCGGCCGGCGCTCTGTGCGTGGCC